GGTATTAAAACGTTTCGTATTGACCTGGTATATTAAAATTACATCTAAAGTTGTTCTTTTTATTTTTTAATAGCTTTATTTACTTTTATTAATGTATTTATTCGCGAAATAATCATATTAAATACCACTGAGCGACTCGCTAAATGACTAGTAGATTTATCAAGAATCTGCAATGCACTTGTGGTGTTACTCGTATTTATATTATTTGGTATCGTACGTGCATTCTTATCGTCTGCAAGTAAAGGAGAGAGAACCAGTGGTTGAAGTTATCTTTTGGAAGTGAAGGATATATTTCGATGGCCTTTCAAAAAATCTCCAGCAGTAATAAAAATGATAGTGTTTATCAATACATTTGTGTGATACTTCCGCAAAATGCAAGAGTGCTTTGTATTATAATTGTTAAGAATGATATTTGCTAAACAAGGAAAAAATGACATCAGAGGAGAAGACAATCACGAATTTATCACATGATGGATTTACAAGAACGCCGGTTGTATTGTTCTTCCAGTTTCCTAGGATCTATTAAGGAAATCTTGATAGAGTTCCTTGCTTGCAAGTAGCTGCCACCCCCAAGTCACTATGGCAATTTTACCAAAAAAATAATGAAAATAATGAATTTGAACCATGAGAGGCAGTAATCTAAAACGTTAAATGTATTCATTCATATTTATTTACGAAATGTCATGTTAATTTAATTGGATCTTGTTGAAGGTGCCTGATTCTTCGTACGTGGTGCCCTTAAGTATAGTTATTGCTGGAAAATTACACATTATTGTTTTGGACTATATCTAAAATATGTTTTTATTCATGTTGTAGCTGCGTAACGGTATTGCAAGTTAAGAAATGAACAGAATGACTAGGTTCCGAGATGTTCACTTTTATTGCAGTATTTTATTTTTAAACGGCAAAACTAAATGCAATTTCGACATCCTTAGTACCAATACAAACTTGACATACTTAATACCAACTTAATATTAATACAAATTTGTGGCTAATACATGAATTAATAATTATTTATGAGAAATAGATGGAAAATGAAGTGATGACGACTTCGGATGGGGCGACATCACTTCCTTGTTGGTGATTAATCCGATGAAGGAAAGAATTTCCAAACTACATGAGCGAAGCACGTTTCTCCATTATATTTCTTAATAGACTCTCAGGTGCTTTCCCGAAACCCACAGTTGCGCCATCAGATTCTTTTTTATCGAACGATGACAAAATATATCTCCAAGAACGAATGTGTGCTCCGCCCTCTGCTATCTGCTCGCGGTTCTTCTCAGCCATTGTCCGAATTTGATTTTCTACGTTTGTATTCTGAATTCGTAACATAATCGAACTCTGTTATTCTTTATCAGACTAAATCTCGATATTCGCATTGTAATCTCAGAAAGACGCGCCAGATTGGATTCGCGCTCAAAGTGTGAATCAGTGATGGAATCACGTAGAGTATAGTAGGGAGAAAATCTTATTAAAATGAATCGTGAAACAGTTTTCTTTTGTATCACATTTGATCAAACTAATAAATCAAACAAGACTGAGGATGCTGTTCATAAAGAATGTAAATATTCCACGAGGGTGTGCAACATCTACATGATAAATTACAGAGTGATGTCGTCGAGTCACTCACTATTGAGGAATGTATCACCACTTCAGCGGGTCACCGCCCCTGACGGGACAAGCTCTAATCGGTCTGCCGGCATGTGTGGCAGTGTAGTGCATGTAATTGTGTGTATAAGTAGGAGGTGAAGATAGGTCAAGGAAGAGGAAGCAAAGATGGAGCTCCGTCCGCGGCCTGTTTGTTGTGGTACTACTCCGGCATTCTCCTGGTGTTGATCGGAGAAACCACGCAGAATTACCGATAAGAGCAGCTAGCAGCTAGAATTTTCCTCCAGACAGCGGCTGAATTTGATCCAGCTCTATAATTCTATAATCTCTCGGTCATCGAGGTTCTTGTGGCAACGCCATTGTCAGTTCGGTCGATTTCGCGATAAATGAAGGCGCAGAAAGTTCGCCACCTAGTTATGAGATAACTCACTGTGTGTGCGTGTTTTGAGGATCATAGTTGCGAGTCTACAGTCAAAAATATTTTTTGTCGCTGACCGTCGTCATTACAGAAATCATACTGAATCATTGCTGCCAGTTGCATTGTCTAGGATGTTGGAATAAACGTCTTGATCATGATACTTATGAGGCGGATTTTAATGAAATGTCATTGTTTTTTCTTTTCACTTTAGAACAATGCCGTTTAGAATAGAAATTCATTTCATGCTAAGACAAAGTGAAATGACTCATTTTTATGCCATTTTTTCTGCATTTTTCGTCGATTTGACTAATAAGTATTTTTTACCTTTTTACATAGTTTTAATGCATTTTCGCTGTTTTCATCGATTTTAATAACTTAAATGGTACTTGCTTTAAACAATATTTAAGAGGTTCAACAAATGTTCACCACAGAAATCATGAATAGCCTTTTGGATTTCTTCGTTCATATATTGAAAAGTCAGACTTTGTGAGTACTTTGTAATCAAAGGTTCGCCTATCAGCGCCATTGTCAGTTCGGGCGATTTTGCGATAAATAAAGGCAGGAATTTTCTTATAAAGAACCGTCCAAACCCAAAGTGTGTAAGATGAGTTCACTTGAACAAAAGGAAGAAGCCTCGGTTACATCAGTAATATACCCAACAGCTTGAGTTGTTAATCTGAAGTGGTTTTGATCAATTCATTACGTAATTTTTTTTGTTTTAGGGCATTTTAAAAGCTTGTTAAGAGCATTTTATTGATAATTTTTTACAATGTTTTGGGTCACCAAAATCCGCTCCCTACTTATGACTACTGACACTGACCATCGTCTTTACAGGAATGAAAGTGGATCATCGCAGCCAGTTGCATTGTGCAGGATGTTAGAATACATCTTACAAACATCTTGAACAGGGTTGTCCAACTGGTGGCCCGCGGGCCGCATGTGGCCCGCACTGCCATTTATTGTGTCCCGCGAAAGGTTACTCGTCAAAAGTGCAAGTCGCGTGCAACCATGTCGGGGGAGAACATTGTGCTCCTAACGCATGACCCCGCTGGTGTTAACACCCTGTTTAATGTAAAAATGTTGGTGAAGTTTTGATTTAAGGATTTGTTTCCCTAGTAAAATCAGAAATTAAAAATCATCCCAATTTCATTCGCTATCTTATGAATGGTACGGTCTGATATCACACTCGGTTCCATCCCCCACCTCCCGTTTCAGAACCAAATGCCGAGATCAACATTTCGGGGACGCCCAGTGTGGATCACCCGAGTGTTGAAAACATTAAAGGTTTTAGTTGTGACCGCCGAGGCCTTGCGCTAGAAGGCTGCTTCTGCATCGTGTGACTGTGTGCGTGGCAGGGGCGGCGGAGGAGGGGGAGGAAGAGGGAAGAGGAGGAGGAGGAGGAGAAGATGTTTGAGCCGCGCGCGTTCGACGAGAAGGCGCAGGGCCAGGACGCGCTCATCGGCGCGCTGCTCAGCCGCGACATGAAGGCCTTCGAGGAGGCCCTCGCCGACCCGGACGTCGACCCCAACCACTGGTGAGCCCCTCCCCCACTTCTTCTGTCTTTTGCTTCTTGGCTGACCGGGCGACGCCGCGTCGTCGGATGGGAGGCCGACGTTTCGCCTGTCGTGTCGCAGGCTTCCTCAGGGTAGGGACACACACTGAGTAAATGGCCTTGTTCCACCCTTCTTTTACTTCATTATTCTGAATAGTCACTGCTCTGAGGAAGCCTGCGATGTGACAGGCGAAACGTCGGTCTATCAGCCGACGTTGCGGCGTCACCCGGACAGCCAAGAGCTCATGAACTCGAGCCGAGGAAGCTTACGTGTACATTTCTTTCTTTCCTCTCCTCGGGCTCTTTCGCTGTCAGCCCTTCTTTATTTCTTGCTTAGTACTCCTCTTCTTCCATCTTCTCCTCGGGCTCTTCCTCTATCGCCCGGTCTTTCTTGTTAGCGCTCATCTTTCTCCTCGGTCCCTTCCTCTGTCATTATTTCTTTGTTTTTTATTTCTCCGCCCTCCTCTTCCTCCACTTTCCCCTCGCTTCTTTTCCTAATTATTTTACTATTCCCCTTGCTCTCTCTTCCTTTTACTTCATTTCATCTCTTCTTCCACTTTTTCTTTTTCTTCTTCCCCTATGATGTTTCCACTTCTTCCTCTATCATCCTTTGTTTCATTTTTATTTTTTCGCCCTTCTCTTCCTCCATTCTTCTTTCGCCATTCTCTTCGGTTATTATCGACTTCTTCCTTTATCATCCTTGTTCCTCCCTTCCTTACTTTATTTCCTTTCTCTCTTCTTCCTCCACATTCTTCTATTTTTGCTTCTTTTTTTGTCTCTGACATTTTATCTCCTTCCTCTATTTTCGTCGTTCCTCCCTTCTTCACCTCTTCCTTTCATTCATTCCTACTTCTCCATCGTCTTTATCTACTACCTGCATCTTTTCGTCTTGTTTCGAATTTTTTTGCCAGACCACCTTCTTCATTTCTACTTCTTTTTCTCTATCCTTCTTGTTGACGTTTTTAAAATTTTTCTCTTCTGACTTTTTTCTTCATCTTTTCCCCACTTCTTCATCCTTTCTTACTTTTACCTCTGCTTCTTATTATTCTACTTCTTAATTTCCTATTTCCTCTTCTTTCTTTCTTTTTGTTGCTTTCTTCTCCTTCATTGCCCCCCCCCCTTTATTTTTCTATTAGTTCCCTATTTTGTTCTTAAACTTCTCTTAGCTCTCAACCATCTCATTAATTAAAAATATTCACATTTCAATAAAACAACTTTAAAAAAATCATATCTGCCTACCCTCAGAGACGTCACTTATGACATAAAGTAACTTATTCTCGAGTAAGCTTGAATAGTGTATTCTTGGGCAATTTTTTAAAATTTTCTTTAATTTTTCATTTTTATTTATTACATTTTATTACTTTTAAATATTACTCTCATTATTTTATTTGTTTTCATTTTACTTGTTGTCGCAACGTTTCCATGCGTGTGTGTGTGCGTGTGTGCGAGCGCAGGTACGGGAAGCCGTACTGGTCGACGTGCCTGCAGCTGGCGGCGCGCAGCGAGGGCTGCGAGGCGTTCGTGCTGGCGCTGCTGCGCGCGGGCGCGGGCGACCTGCGCTACCGCTCGCGCCCCAGGCCCAGCGACGCCGCCCCGCGATTCACAAAGGTCAGCCACGAGAGACAGAGAGAGAATAAAACTAACAAATAAGCAGTAAATAAATAAATAAATCAAAGAAAGAAAAAGAGAGTGAGAAACAAAAAATAAATATACATAAATTAATAAATAAATCAATTCAGAAAGAGAGAAAGAAAATAAATAAACAGACGAGGAGAGAGAGGGAGAGAGCGAGAGAGATAGGTAGAAAGAGAGGAAGAGAGGAGAAGAAGGAGAAAGAGACGGGGAGAGGGGTTGAGGCGGAAACAAGGCGAGAAAGGGAGAGAGAGGGAGAGACAGAGAAAAGGAAGAGAGCGTGTTATGTGTATTTCCATTCGATTATATACAGGTATTTCATTTATTTTGCTAATGATCGTTTCGATCGCGTAGCGGCGGATAATCGCTACGCGATCGAAACGATCATTAGCAAAATAAATTGTTGAAACAAGACAACACCTTTTATTTACCATATTTAAATGTACACTATACTGATATTTTCTTTAACTCTTTGGGTAACCACCATCGTGTACCATAACTTGACGCTACGCCACTGTAAACAATAATGTTCTGTTTCTGAAAATTATCGTTACGCCATTGTAAACACATACAAGACGGATGACTCTTTGAATTTCTCTCCTAGCGCAAGACTTCCTCTTCCCAGCACCACTTCCGCTGTCCCTCTCCTTCACCGACCCCAATGAGATTACTCTGCCCAGATGCCCACTTCAAGCGGAGGAAGGCGCTGGAGGTACGATTGCTAAACCGTTGCTATGGAAATAGCCCTCGTGTTCTGTGTGATTTAGATTTTGATTTATTGGTTAAACAAAAGTAAAACACTGTATGTGACGTATGGGGGAGAGGATTATTCGCGCACGTTTTCTTGAGTTCCAGAATCCCTTCCCGTCATTTTAATTATAAATAGTTGAAAGATAAGTAAACCTTTAAAATAAAAAAAAATTAAAAATTAACCAAGCGCGAGATTAGCAATATTTGAAAAAATAGACACTTTCGTTTCCGAATTGTAGAAAACTTATTCGCATCGATAAACGAATTGCATGTATTATTTTCCTGCATTGCTAACAAAATAGTAACTCGTCCTTACCTCTTCTCCTACCATTACAAGCAAAAGGAGAGTTCAACAAAACGTGCGTATAGTGAAGCTACATTTACGTCCAGAAAAAAAACAAGGGGAATGTACATTTGCAAAATACACGCAACAAGCTTCATGAAGGCTGACAGAATTTGAAAGTATTCTGAATGCTCACTGCCTAGCATAATGAGCATGTGTGTTTCAGCTCACAATGACTGTGAACACTAAGCGTACAGTATTTACTTCTAAAAACTAAGCTCAGACAAGAGCGCTAATACCAACATATTATACACGCATGAGGGATAAAAACCTAAATGCATAGATGATTAGTATTTACTAGGCTGTCCGGGTGACGCCGCGTCCATGGCGAAGGTGCCGACGTTTCGGTCACCATTCTGCGACCTTCCTCAGGGCGTAATGCGAAACGTCGGCACCTTCGCCATGGACGCGGCGTCACCCGGACACCCTAGTAAATACTGACTCCGGCCGCGGAAGCCTACGCTCTCGCATAGATGATTTGCCCTTGCAAATAGTTTTTATTACACCGGAGCGAATATTTTCTTGTCAGTTCTAGCCAAAATCGATCATTTTTTTCTATATTCAGAATATGACTTGTATGTGATGTAGGGTAGGGATCTCAGAATTAAGAAAAACGCACAGAATGTTCTCCACCCCGTTTCCCGTCATACTAAGTTTTTAACTATTTTTGACGTTAAATAAATGAAATGAATGAATAGATTGTAGCACAGTCTCTAACGGCGACAGTGATGCCAAATGTGTCACTCTTGTCGTTCAAAGATACAGTGTTTACAGTTGTCGAAGATAGTGGTAAAAATTACGAAACCACAACGGAAAACATCGAAGTAACACTTGAAACGAGGGAGTGGGCACAAGGAAAAAGCAGCCACACGTACTTTCCAAGTAGAGCGATAAGTCATCGAAAGCACGTGGGAGCAAGGTTGCGGCTACTCAAACAATTGATCCCGTTCCTTTGTACTAATATAAATTAGTTTTTTTATATAAAAATATTTGATGTAAACACGAGTGTATGTTGCATAATGTTTTAAAAAATGAGGACTAATAACTGATAGTATACGGCACGGTTCCGGTTCAGTCCCACAAATAGCGTGAATGGTTCCGTGCATATAAACCTCTGCGGACGTACATAAATAAATAAGTAATAAATAAATAAATAAGAGTTCTTTGTGCGCGTCTGTGCGTGCTACGTCGTAATTTTACGAGGAGTGTCGTTTAATGATTTGCGAAAAGATAATAGAGCCTATTCATCTTCAGTTTTGAAGTCCTCTCGCGTAAAATACGTTGGGAAATATGCATTGGAACGACTCGAGAATGTTTTGAATTAACGTGAGGGCCGAGGGCCTGATGCTCATTAACTTGGAACTTACCGAAACGCTAACTGGTGCAGAAAAATGGCTTTCCACGAGGGATTCGTTCTCATAGTCACCAGTTTCTGAAAGAGTCGTTCCATAAACTACCAATTTACCAGTTCGTGTACTATTTTGTTACCTAATACAGGGCTTGAAATCTTAAAATGGGTGATTTCCTTAGTAACAAAATGTCTACAATTTTTCACATTGACAGGACATTTCAGAGATAAAAGCAAAGCTCTTAGCCAATACCTGACGAAGATAGGAAAAGTAATCGAAACGTTGTAATGTTTTAAGTTTAAAAGGAAATCTGTTGATAAACTGTTTGTAATACATTTTAGTGGGTTATAAATAAAATATCATGTTATGTTCCTTTATCGGAAACACCCTTGCAATGTCCTAACAAAACAGTGTACTGTCCTTATATGCTTGGATAACACATTCATTTGGAATTACATCCTAAGGGCTTGTGGAGTTCTAACGTTACTAACTGTAGTTAGATGGTCTTATGTAGTAATGTTATCTGAAGATAGGGTTGCAATTCCTGAAATGTCATATTGTACGAAATTATAATTATAATAAAGATGTAAGATTGAATATGAAGAAATGAGTTATCTTTGATTGTCTTTAATTAGAAAAAAAACATTATTACCAATGTACACCAAGAACACCAAGACAAAGTGATTCTTCGAATTAAAAAGAATGTAAATGCCACGTGCAAGAATAGTATGCACCGACCATTCCTGCGGCTATGTGACATTGTATGAGCATGTCAGAGCAAACGAGATAGTTGGAGATAAATGGACTGCACCGAACGGTTATATGTATATGAATGAAACAAGAAAATATACTGATAATGTTTTTTTTTAAAGTGATGAGAAGATATTGCTATCATAAGATAACCCAGTGTTCTAGCAAAGAAACATACGTCAAGAAAATTAATCAAACCACGACAATATTGTTTTTGATAGTCGCGAGTAGAATTGTCACCTCTTCGGTTTTGACCCGGAGGCAAGTAACCAGTAACATAATTCACAAAATACATACAGTATTACATCTCCATCTTCAAACTCAAAAATGAAACAAAAACAATGAGATACATTTTCGTTACAGATACTGTAGGCGCTTTCAAAAACCACTTTGGTTCACGTCACACAAAAATTCGTTCACTTGTGTCATATACGTACCTAATTTTTAAAACATGCGATATTTTCGTTCATATTGAAGTGAAATAATTTTTTAAGGCGTAAAAAAACTACTAGAATACATTGATTTAAATTTATTCGTAAAAAATGTCAAATAGGATTGTTAGTTTTGATGCAAACAAAATTTATAGTTTGGTTGTTAGATTGGAATTTGTTCATTTGGAAGAATTTATTTTTGTCACAGACTGAAAAATAACAAATCTATCTAATATTTCACACCTTCGCTTGATACAATTTTTTCATCTCCCCTCTCTTAGTGCATAATTAATAATCGTGAGGAAGAGGTAGATAGAGAAAAGGAATGAACAAATACTGTCTCTAAATCAGTATAGGGATTTATCTTACTTGGCTTTCGCTAATTCCAAAAGTTTGTAAAAGTTTAACATTTATTGAGGTGGACAGCAAATAAAAATACTATACTGAATATGAAATTTTGAAACCACGGGAATATCAAAGATTAGATAGAACTGAGTCCAGTCAAAATTTGAGCAAGTATGCGAAATTGAAATATGAATTTTAACATTTGATCATATATTTTTCGAGAATAGTAAATTTTGGCGTATCATAATCAAACAATAGAACATAATAGGTAGCTTAATATAACATTATAGGGACATAATAGTGACATCTGCAGTAACTGATACATAAACGAATTGAGGGTGTTGAAAAGGAAACCAAGTCACCAACTGATCGTTTTGAATTAATAACAGATTCGAATTGTCTAAAAGTAGATACATATTTGAATGATAAAACGATTATCCTGTCTTCCTTTTGTCATTGTGTATCCGGCCATAACTCGGTCTTGGCTTTTATTAAACGCTCTTGTGCTATACAAAATTCATTTTCAGGACTTTTTGTTGAAGATAACATTCTGTAAACGTCTTTTGAATAAAATGCTAACTTGCATGCTCAAATGCTAACCAGCGTGCTAAAATTCTAAACTGCAAATTGCAGAATAGTCTAACCTACTACTACAGTATAATAATTATAATATTTATTTTACATTTTCTCGGAGAATTTAGTTATGAGTAGACGAATTATTAAAAGTATCTTGAACGTCATTAGACTTCATTCTGGAGAATTATTTCGAAACTTTTTACAGGAAAAGCAGGAAGGTGTCAAATCCCTCAACAATCCAATCTCTTCATTCACAGATAACAGGAAAAACTTTCTATCTCGAAAGATAATGAATCAGTGTTTCGTGAGGTCGTCTCGCTAGTATCAAGTGTATCAATCACAATGTATCGATGAGATAAATATAGAAAGGTGTTATAATTCGAAAATCCTATGAATAAAATCCGTTCCTGTCTTTCTGAGAAGTTCATTTGT